GCAATTCACTGATTATAATTTAAAAATAAGACTAATGCACCCGTTGAGCCTGCAGATCCAACCATAACAAAATATCTTAAAATGGCTAAGGATGGAAGTAAAAATATAACGGCTCCATAAATAAACATGAGGTTTAACGTGCACGTAGAAATAAATATATATGAGAAGAATCTACCAGGTGCTACTGATCATAAGACTCGTTCAATAGGATACCACTCCCATGGACGAACACACATAGCTTGTTGGTGTCGTAAGACCCTACGGGAAATGAATTATGTAGTACTGTCATAGTAACATGGCTACCCAGTGAATTATCCAGATGAATTGTAACATTTATATAAATAACATATAGTATAAAAATGAGATCCTGTTTCCATTTCATGGAGCAAATAATCATAACATATAAATTAAAAAGCATTTCAAAATAAACCTTTGGTTTTAAAGTAAAACATTTATTTGTAAGAAAATATTAATTTCATTATTTTTAAAAAATACTGAGTTTAGAAAAAGATCACTCATCTCTATTGATACTGTATTTGGCCCAGACTTAGTCCTGTTGGCCTCACTGACCAGCCGATATATTTCTCATAAAGTATAACTACATACGCTATCAATACATGTCAAAACCGTGTATGAATGCATGAATATACTAGTGCATACATGATATGTACTCCTATTAAATTGTTTTCTATCCTTTTTATTTGGAGTCAAAATTTCTACTATACACATACTTCAAAAATTCTCAAATATTATTATATATACTCATTACCAGTTAGGTATACTAGGTATATTAGGGTATACTCACGTTCACAAAATGAGTTATAGTTATTTTTTTATAAAAATAATCCGTAGTAGTAGGTCGGTAAACTTCAAGGTTGGACTTTAGACAAATTTTAATATAAGTTTAGCCTTACTTTTATTAAACTAACTTAATCATCTTTTTAACAAAATTAATATGAATTAATAAAAACTTTTAATCTAAACTAGTAGAAATTATTCCTTGATTTTTCATAAAAAAAACAACACTTAAACTAAAATCTAAACCGATTAAATGAAATTAAAACACGAATAGATTAAAAATATATATAAAAAAAAACTAATCAAAAACTTACTCGAAAATCGATTAAAATTTCCTTTGCCTTCATTTATTTGGAACTCTCTTTTCTCCCTTGCTCCCTTCCTCTTCTCTCTCGAGTTACTTCTCTCTCTCTTTCTTCTCTTTCTTTTATTCTTCTCTTTCTTTCTCTCTTTTCTTTTTTTTCCTTCTTATTTTCTTTCTCCCTTTCTTTCATTCCCTCTTTTACGTAAAAGCACTATCCTTTTAATAAAATGGTGGACAAGTGGGGGAACATTCCACCCCACGAAATCATATCTTTCTTTTTTTTTCTTTTCTTATTTATTTATTTTATTATTATTATTATTTTTAAAAAATTAAATTTAAGCCGCTAATAATTCACTAATTATACTTATACAAAATAAAATATAAAATATACGGTAAAAGTTTTGAGTTGGGATGTTACAGTATTCACTTCCAATGTCAATAATATCAAGCACACCGTGAAGCATACGCAGCTTCTGCAGTCTTGATTCTAATGCTTTGAACCCTACCCCAACTTATGGAAAAAAGCTTCAAGCTTCTCCCAAAAACAATCTCCGAGCAAGAAACTGTATCCTCAACATCTTCTTGTACCAGCCAATCAGAGTCAAGGACCTCCTCCTCCATGGGTTCATTATTAACATCTAAATCCTCCTTATCCCACTCTCCGCCCTTGCTAATGCTATGCTCACCTGCTTTCCAACTGGATTCTCCCAACAGGGAATCCTTGTAGGATCTTCTAGACACAATGGTATCCCCGGATAGCTTACTTCAGAAATCATGGACTAGTTTCCTTCCGCATCCAATCCCTCAGCCTGTATATGATGCTACTCTTTTATCTTTTTAGTGCTTCGCCTTGCCAGGTCCTCTCCAACTGGCGAGTGGTCTCTGTTGCCTACATTCTGCACAGAAAGGCTTTTTTCAAATAGGGTACCTAACAAAATATATATATTGTTATCTTCTCGTGTACAGACACCTTTAAATCTAGTAGTGGCTTACAGTCTGCGGGCAAGGCCTTTTCAGTCACATCATTTGGACTTTAAATCTAGGAGTGGCTTACAGTCTGCGGGCATGGGCCTTTTCAGTCACATCATTTGGACTCCCTTTTATTATTGATGAAATGGAAAACCATAGAGTCAATTTAGGTGCATTTCATAAGGTTCAAAATCTTTAAAAAAATTATTTAAATTTTTAATAATATAATAAAAAAATTTCAATTATTTATTAAAAAATTACTTCAAAATTTATTTAAATGAAAAAAATGAAGATTTCTTTTTTTAAAAAATAGGTTCCCAACTATATCACAATAGTTTGAAGAAAGAAAGATATAAAAGTAGGTAACATAATTTAAACTCCCAACCCCTAAATGTAACATTTAAAAATAAAAGGGACTTACAATTTCTAAACTGACATATCTGAGATAAAAATAAATGGGATTTAAGCCCTCTATAATTTTTATTATGAATAGCTGAAAACTATTTAAAATATTTGATTTATATATATTAGAAGCAATAAAGTTAAATTATTCATTTAAATTGAATAATATATATAGTTGAAATTACAAAATGAGAAAAAAAGCCTGACGAAATGGAGGGAACCCGTTCCGAGATCCGATCTCCATTAATCATTGATCAATAATGGTAGACAATAGTAAAACTTTTAGAGAAAATGACAAAAAAAAAAAGAAATGAAATGAAAGGCTCAAAAGCCCTAAGCTACTTCCGTGGAAAGAGCTGGCCGATCGTGACCATGATCTTAGCATTACAGTGCAAAAAAAAGCCGGGCCCAGTTGGCAGAAATGATCGCATTGGAGTCTATTGCTAGATTGGACACCATCGGCTAAACAAGTCTGTTAATAAAATATCATAATTATAAAGTATTTTAAATTATAATATCTTATTCAGTAAATTTTAAATAAATTAAATAAAATATTTATAAATATATAAATTATCAAATTAATTTTTTTTATTTTTGGTAATAGAAGATAACAATATGAAATGGTGGTAAGTAATAATAGCTGGTAATATATTGTTGTAGTCTGCATGTGAAATGTAGAACTAATATTGTCTAAATGAGTTAGTAAATGTTGCATAAAATTATATCATCCCTCAATTTATTCAGATTGAGTTAAATAATTATTCTAACTTTCTTACTAATTTACTAATTTATTAAATATTAAATAAGGTTAAATAAAAATGAATAATCTAGCATTTTGGCCTTCATCCGGAGCACGGAACATAACCTTTAAAGGGAATTTCATTGTTAACCTATGAACAAGTGTGCATCTATTTTTTGTGATAGCCTCGGAAAGCTACAATTTGTATTTGTTTGCTAAAGCTATTTTCGGTTTAGGAAAAATAAAAACTTATTTGGTAAGTTAATTTTTTAAAACTATTTTCCGGGAGAATTTTCAAACAAAACCTTTCCTCAAAACCAACAACATGGTTAATTTATAATCCTAATAAACTTACTTTTGCTTAAGAATGAATACTTTCAAAAATAAATCATTTTGGCTTTAGTGTTTCTGAAAATAGAAAACAAAAGAAGTGATGCAAATCCGAAGGAAACACGTTTCAATAGTTGAGCCAAGCGTAGTTTTCGTATTCTATTCCCTTCGAAAACTTGACATGAGAAAGGACCATTTGCATAAGTTTCTTTTTTTAAGGACTTTTTTAAAATTAATTTTTTGAAAGTATAAATTATTTTAGTATTTTTTTTGACCTATTTGAATAAAAAATATAAAAATATTTTTATCTTTCTTTCTTTTTTTTTTTTTTGGGGGGGGTTGGTGGGGTGCGCTCTGTCCTCCTAAGATCATTCACGTTCACGTTTGATCGGAGAGCCCCCAAGCCAACAATTGGCGTTTCTGCGTTGGGTGGGTTTGCAGGAAGAGCAGAGAGGAAGGGCGGGTGGCATGGGAGAGAGAAAAGAGGGAAACTGCAGAGAGGGTCACAGATGAAAAGATCTAGCCATAAGGGCAGCTAAGCTCTGTGAGAGTGCTGACGGAGGTGTGGACAGAACTCCGCGGATTCAGACAGTGTGCATGGTTGACAGAGATGATCTAGCGGCAAAGAGGTGTGAAAGAGAAGAGAATGCAAATTTCAGAGGAAGATTTTCAAGCCATTTTTGGCGATCGAGAGGTTAGGCAATTCAGTGGGGTTTGGGTGCCAACGGGTGGAAGAAAAGTCAGGGCGAGGAGGAGATGAGTGGAGCTGGTGAGACAGCATAGCAAGCCAGCGGTGAGGTCGGCAAGGTAGGAAAATCAGCCAAGACGCAGGGAAGCCGAGGCTGAACTGGGATTTGGTTGAGAGGGTTAAATGGGTTGGCTGGTGTTGTTGCTTCGTCTACGAAAAGGATATCAGTTGCCGGGAGATGGAGGAGAAACAAGGAGCAATAGTCAGGGCAGTGATAAATGCACACCGGCTGAGAAGGGTTAAATGACTAGATGGGAGGAGAAGGCTGGTCAGGGATGGTTCCTTTTGGCTGCAGGAGGAGTCGGCCGGCGGAATAAGAGCCTCAGCTTTCTTTCGGAAGCCTCAAGCTTCAAGAGTTGGTCCAATCGATTTATTGGAAAAAGCAAAAAAACTTTTTTTATTTTTTTATTTTTGCCTCTTCTTCTTTTTCTAACAATCCTGCACAAAGATCAATTTGCGACCAAAACCACCTTTTTTAACAGAAAAAGAAAAGCTTTTGGTAAAAGAAACCTACCCAAACTCCCTCTAAAAGGTAAAAATGATAAGCAGGAAGGCATTGCAGCAGAACAGACTTAAGAAGAATATTCACAGGGAGTTGAATTCCATCCATTGCTTGAAAACACGTACTAACGATAAATAACCACGAAATGAAGGTCCAGGCCTAGCAAGCTAAATATACGGACGTCTGTCTGCAGCACCCAACTTAAGCATCATGCTTTAATGCCACCATCTACTTCATAATCAAGCCCAGGAAAACTTCCGAGCTCACCTTTAACACCTTCCACTTCATCAAAGTAGTCTTCTCGTGCATTGTCCGCTAACATAAGGGAAACCAGCCAGAAGAGTGATGTGTTGAGTGATAGAAAAGCACCGCCACCAAGGAGACCAGTCTTGGCAATTGGGCAATCTGTTCGCAGGTTGTGATGAATGTTGCGAATCAGATGAAGTTGTTCTGTTATCGTAGGCCACAGCAGAAACGCTAGTGCCAGTCCAGCGTTACACCTGTGATTTCACCATCGTAGGCCAAATCAAGACAAACGGAGAGATAAAGGCCACAAGAGGGAGAGACTAAGATGAAGTTATAGTATGATTGAGAGGGACCAGATAGGTTGGATGTTTTATTTCTTCAAAAGAAGCCCAGCTTTTCGTAAGTCAATGTTCGGTTTCAGGCATCCTCGTTGAAATAAATCATAGCTTTTACATCCAAAACCCTACGAATGGGCTTTCAAAAAGTCCTGACATTTTGTTAACATCCTAAATTTAGGGCTTTAGGTTTTTTTCTCCAACAAGTCCTCTGATAATGAGGGATCCAAACAAGCTCTTAGTGACAGGAAACAAAAACCGCAACACACCCATTCCCTCCCAATATATATATAACATGAGTGCACCCATGCAAGGCAAAGTTCACCCAACTTCATCCGTCCATCTTTCTGTCTTTTCACGGAAGGAATGTATTTTTTAGGTTTGAATGATATCATACGGAAAATTCCAACATCTGCTACCAAGTTTAACAATGAGGTACGTTTTGATATTTTTGGTATTTTGCCTTCCTTTCCTTTAATACAATTTTCCCATAAGATGGAGGGGAATAACCTAGCACAAAATATTGACTTAATTTTCATATACCTTTTATCAGTAAATTGTCAAATATTACCAAAATACACTATATATGACTAGGCAGTAATTAATCCTTTTGCTCTCTCCCTGTCAATGCAATTAGGTTACCAATAGTAAGCATTCCCATTATAAGTGACTGGAAAAATCACTCTGATGAACGTTGGTTATGAGAGAACCATTGCATGTTCAACATAATAAACATCAGTAAATCACAGCAGTTACATATTGAAATTAATATTTCCCTCGTAGCAGTGCTTCAAGTATACTTTTTCCATGACAGATATATTCCCCTAACTATCCAGATAACGAGAAGATAACATCAGCTGCATGTACTAATCCACATTTATTCAAAATAAGGAGAAACGGGTAAATTGTAAAACAGCCAAAAGGGCGGCAAACTAAACTACGACTAATGAAAAGGTGTGGAAAGGATATATAAGAACCCAATAAATGTTTACTTAGGGAACAATAAGTAACAAAGCTAAATTATAGAAAGGCCAAAAGGGCAGCCAACTGAACATAGAGTATAGAAATAGAATAAAAATAAGATAGTGACGTAATGACCCAGTAACAGTAACACAGCAATATTGAAGAATATAAGGAAGCTAGTGCTTCGAAACAAGGCTGACTGCGGAATGGACTTTCCCTGGTAAGGGTAAAACAAAGAAAAGTACCCAGCCACAGTTGAGGCAACCAGAAAACCAACAGACAGGTACCCCAAAACAACGGTAGGGTCATATGGATACTCGCAAATAACAACCCCTTTCCTGGAATTGCAGTTCCAGATGCAGGCTGTGAAAGACAAGAAGATAAATAACACATAAAACTTCAGATAGTAGGTCAAGGAGGAAAAAACATTATATTACTGCAAAAGAGATGTTAAAAACGAACGGAACAAGTGAAAATCATACATCACATTTCCAAGTTATCCTTTAACACTCCAACAAAGAGCAGATGGACTAGCATTATCCATACTCCCAATTTCACATTTTGCACTCCAATTTATTAATCACATGCTATGTTGTTGAAAATAATATAAGAGTTAACTATGCAGTACAACCCCACATAAAGAATAATAAAAAAGGAGCACAAGGAAACAGCTTTACCAAAAACTATAATTCAAGTAATTATTTGCTCAACTGTTTTGAAGTGAACAGAATGAAATGGGTCAGTTATTGTGCTTCTCTATGTAATCCAACAGCAGAGATTCTACCAAATACAGTAAATGATATAGGTAATTGGTTAAAGGCATGACGTGAATACCAAGCTTAAAGATAAGCTTCTAATGAATCAGTAAATTCCACGGTCAGTCTGCAATCAACAAGACACAGGATGTTTTGCAGCTTATGAAAACTAAGATGAATTTTCTTTTCAGATTTTTTTTTTTCTAATGACTTAATTATTTTTACAAAATTTAATAGGAAGCTACAGAAATCAATCATCCAACTTGTTGAAAGCCTATTCTTTTAGAGCAACAACCTGTGATTTTAATGTGCTAGCAAGCTGGCATGTATAAGCAATTATCATCTCAATGGCCCATGAAGAATGGATATTTTAGTACCATAACAAGCATTTAAAAGGCTCAATGTGTGTACAAACTTGCAAGTACTTATGTTTCACTTGACTGCTCCAATTATGGATCATATACAGGAGAAACATGTTAAGGATAATAAAGTTGGTGTAAAAGCAGAGGTATGATGTTATGAATTCTTTTGTGGGACGCGTCTATAATAGACGCCCTAATTGATGTCCAGCATTAAAAAGGCTTAGGTTTTCTATTTTTATGTTGATTTGTTTCTTAGAATAGATATTTCCTATTTTATGTTGATTCGTTTCCTAAAATAAATTTTATTTATGTATTCAGTATGGAAAGAAACCTAAATTATAAGTTTTTTATTCTTGTATTAAGACTCGCCCTATTTAAAGGGAGAAGAGGAATAAAAACCCTAAGCCGATTTATATCAAAAATTATAGAGATCTAGAGCTCTCTCTTACAACGAGCTCTAAGGTTTCAAGCTCCCTTCGATGAGCTTGAGTTATTTAAAAATAGGTCGTTCAAGGAATCAGAGTAAGGGAAAGAAAAAGGGAACAACAATTGACTTGGATTTTCCTATCAATCGCCATGTGACTCGATCCATATTAGGAGACCATAACAAATTGGTATCAGAGCCAAACACAATGGGCGATTCTAGCAAGAATGAAGATTTGCGATCCCTACTGCAAGAGGCGCAAGCTGCGAACGATGCTAGGGTTACTGAAGTGGAAAGGCGGCTGGGTAGCCAGATGCAGCAACTGTCGCTCCAGATGCAGGAGCTTCTTTCCGGAATTAATCACGGTACAAGCAACGACTTTGATGGGACAGCAAGTAGCAACATCCAGCCTCCTGCGAGAGGAGTACAATCAGGCAGCGGGATGGTTCCTCGGTATACCAAACTAGATTTTCCGACCTTCGACAGTTTTGAAGATCCATTGATTTGGCTGCATCGGTGTGAAAAATTTTTTTCAAACCAACATACACAAGAGGCGGACAAGGTGGAATTGGCTGCATTCCACATGCTGGGTGAGGCACAATTGTGGTACCATCAAATGGAGATCGAGAATCCTTCCATTAATTGGATAGGGTTTAAGAAAAATTGCACTCTTCGTTTCGGACCACTTGCCCACAGCAACCCATTTGGCGAATTAGTCAATCTGAAACAAGTGGGGTCAGTTGAGGAATACCAGCGGCAATTCCAAGAACGCTTGGCAAGAGCAAGCAAGTTTGTTCGAGCCGACCAATACGTCAGTTTGTTCACTGCTGGGTTAACTGATTCTATCCGACTTGAGGTGGAATTGCATAATCCACCTGATTTAGCTCATGCTATGAATCTAGGTAGGGCTTTTGAAAGAAAACAGATAGTGTTGAGGGAAGCCACGACGCGAAGGGGGACTTGGCAAGGTAGCAAAAGCAATTATTCTTCCAATATAGTAGCCCCTATGTCTCAGCTTTCTAAAGGCAGCACTACATTAGGAGGACCTACTGAAACAAAATCAGCAAATCCGTCCATTGATTTTATAAAGAAATTATCAAGGGCAGAAATGGCAAATCGGAGGGCGAAGGGTTTATGTTATAACTGTGATGACCTTATACAGTTGGGCACCAATGCAAGAAACTCTTTTGGCTGGAAGTAGAGGATCCAATTGACGCAGAATCAGCAACTGAAGTAGAACCAGAACTTGCAATTTCCTTACATGCTATCATGGGTCAAAAGAATGCAAGAACCATGCAAGTAATGGCTGTCATGCAGGAGCAGCCACTGCTGGGCTTGGTAGACTCCGGTAGTACACATAATTTCATTAGTTTAATCGCAGCCCAACGCTTGGCTTTGATTTGCAAGTGTTGGTCCCATAATATGGTCCCGTAATATGGATCGAGTCACAGGGCGATTGACAGGAAAATCCAAGTCAATTGTCGTTCCCTTTTTCCTTCCCTTACTCTGATTCCTTGAACGACCTATTTTTAAATAACTCAAACTCGTCGAAGGAGCTTGAAACCTTAGAGCTCGTTGTAAGAGAGAGCTCTAGATCTTTATAATTTTTGATATAAATCGGCTTAGGGTTTTTATTCCTCTCCTTCCTTTAAATAGGGCAAGTCTTAATACAAGAATAGGAAACCTATAATTTAGGTTTTTTTCCATACTGAATACATAAATAAAATCTATTCTAGGAAACGAATCAACATAAAATAAGAAAAATCTATTCTAGGAAACAAATCAACATAAAAATAGAAAACCTAAGCCTTTTTAATGCTGGACATCAATTAGGGCGTCTATTATAGACGCGTCCCACAAAAGAGTCTATAACATTACCCTCCCCCTGAAGAAAGAGTTTGTCCGCAAGCTCAAATGCTGGATAAGCCTGTCGAAAATGATCCAGAGTCTCCCAAGTAGACTCTGCAGCATCCAAACCAGTCCATTGAACCAGAATTTCCCAAATGCCACGATTGAGGCGAGCACATAATACAAACCCAGGAGTTGGGGCAACTTTGCCATCTGTTATAGGGGGTAAGGTAGGAGCTGAAATAGGAGCAGTACCCTTGAAGGGTTTAAGAAGAGAAACATGGAAAACATCATGAAGTTTAGAATTGGAAGGCAGCTCTAGTTTATAAGCAACATTCCCAATGCGCTTGAGAACTTTAAACGGCCCATAAAACTTAGGAGAAAGCTTATGGCGAGGCTGACTAACAACAGAAAGTTGTCGATAAGGCTGTAAACGAAACCAATCTAGAGTACCTTGTGTATATTCGACATTCCGATGCCCCTTATCATAATACTCCTTCATACGAAACTGGGCTTGTTGAAGTCGGCCCTTAATTTCTTGCAAAACCAGGTCTCTATCTACCAAGGCTTTATCAATTGCCTCAATCCGAGAAGAACCAGACACATAAGATAATAAACGAGGAGGGTCGCGACCATAAACGACCTTAAAGGGTGTAGTTTGAAGAGCTGTATGAAAAGAAGTATTACAGCAATATTCAGCCCAGGGAATCCAGTCAACCCATTATTTAGGACGATCGCCTACAAGGCATCTCAAGTACATTTCAATTGTGCGGTTGACAACCTCGTTTGACCATCCGACCGGGGATGATATGAAGAATAGAATGCAAGCTTCGTGCCACATAGGCGGAAGAGCTCCTTCCAAAAGTGACTGGTGAAAGCCACATCCCTATCACAAGTAATAGATTCCAGCAGCCCATGTAAACGAACTATATTTTCTAGAAAAATCTGAGCTACCCGTGGGGCTGTATAAGGATGAGCCATAGGGATAAAATGTGCGTATTTGAAAAATCTATCCACCACCACAAATAAGATCGTTTTGCCCCAAACTTTCGGCAGCCCATCAATGAAGTCCATAGAGATATCAGCCCAAACTTGTGAAGGTAGAGCTAAGGGCTGAAGCAAACCAGCTGGGCTTAAACTTTCAGCCTTGTGTCGTTGGCATACAGAGCAGGCAGCCACATAATCAACAATGCTCTGTTTCATACCCTTCCAATAAAAATCACTTCGCACCTTATGTAAGGTCTTTTGGATGCCCTCATGTGCACTATCATGATATCCTGACAAAATTGTTGTAATTAAAGAAGAAGCAGGGAGCAAATAAATCCTGCCTTTGTAAAGAATGAGACTCTCATGAATGGACCAAACATTGTCCATCTCCTTGCTTACAATTTTTGCGTACAATTCTTGTAGTGAAGTGGTGTTTGTCACTTCCTCACGGACAGCATCCAATGACGTAACACGAGGGTGACTGATGGCATACAAGAATTTCTCTTTATTAAGACGTCTAGACAAGGCATCGGCAGCTTTGTTTAAATTGCCAACCCAGAATTCCACACAAAACCGCCAAGTGCCATCACGCTTCTTGACTAGCAGAACTGGTGAAGAAAATGGTGATCTACTAGGGCAAATGATACCTTGTTGTAACATTTGTATGCATTGTCTTTCTATTTCATCCTTCTGCAAATGCGGATAGCGATATGGTCGGACAACCACTGGCCCAGATCCTGGTTCCAGGCAGATTCGATGGTCAAAATTCCAGAGAGGGGGTAGTCTTGAAGGTTCTTGGAATAAATCAGTAAATTCAGTTAATAAATTATCCAGCTTGCCATGGAAATCATCTGAGCTAAGAAGTAAATGGAGTTGATTTGTGGGGCTGGTCCGTCTCCCTTGAAGCACAATTTGATTCCCATGCGCAGCAAAACTCATGGTGAGTGAAGCAAAATCCCAAAGGATTGGTCCCAATGTTTGTAACCATTTGATACCTAGCACTATGTCAAAGTCAGCCAATGGAATAATGACAAAATCAGCAGTAAAAACATTACCATCAATGGAAAACGATGCCGCTGGACAGAACCCTGTGCTTCGAACTTTGTCTCCATTAGCAACCGAAACACTCGCACTTGATTGGGGTTGGGCTTTGATTTTTGTGTGGAATTCCGGCTGGCAATTTAAACAAAGCTGCCGATGCCTTGTCTAGACGTTTTAATGAAGAGAAACTCTTGTATGCCATCAGTCACCCTCGTGCTATGTTATTGGATGCTGTCCGTGAGAAAGTGACAAACACCACTTCACTACAAGAATTGTACGCAAAAATTGTAAGCAAGGAGATGGACAATGTTTGGTCCATTCATGAGGGTCTCATTCTTTACAAAGGTAGGATTTATTTACTCCTTTCTTCTTCTTTAATTACAACAATTTTGTCAGGATATCATGATAGTGCACATAAGGGCATCCAAAAGACCTTACATAGGGTGCGAAGTGATTTTTATTGGAAGGGTATGAAACAGAGCATTGCTGATTATGTGGTTGCTTGCTCTGTATGCCAACGACACAAGGCTGAAAGTTTAAGCCCAGCTGGTTTGCTTCAGCCCTTAGCTCTGCCTTCGCAAGTTTGGGCTGATATCTCTATGGACTTCATTGATGGGCTGCCGAAAGTTTGGGGCAAAACGGTCTTGTTTATGGTGGTGGATAGATTTTTCAAATACGCACATTTTATCCCTATGGCTCATCCTTATACAGCCCCACGGGTAGCTCAGATTTTTCTAGAAAATATAGTTCGTTTACATGGGCTGCTGGAATCTATTACTTGTGATAGGGATGTGGCTTTCACCAGTCACTTTGGAAGGAGCTCTTCCCCCTGTGTGGCACGAAGCTTGCATTCTCTTCTTCATATCATCCCCAGTCGGATGGTCAAACTGAGGTTGTCAACCGCATAATTGAAATGTACTTGAGATGCCTTGTAGGCAATTGTCCTAAACAATGGATTGACTGGATTCCCTGGGCCGAATATTGCTATAATACTTCTTTTCATACAGCTCTTCAAACTACACCCTTTAAGGTCGTTTATGGTCGTGACCCTCCTCGTTTATTGTCTTATGTGTCTGGCTCTTCTCGGATTGAGGCAATTGATAAAGCCTTGGCAGATAGAGACCTGGTTTTGCAAGAAATTAAGGGCCGACTTCAACAAGCTCAGTTTCGTATGAAGGAGTATTATGATAAAGGGCATCGGGATGTCGAACATGCACAAGGTACTCTGGTTTGGCTTCGTCTATAGCCTTATCGACAACTTTCTGTTGCTAGTCAGCCTCGTCATAAGCTTTCTCCTAAGTTTTATGGGCCGTTTAAAGTTCTCAAGCGTATTGGGAGTGTTGCTTATAAACTAGAGTTGTCTTCCAATTCTAAACTTCATGATGTTTTCCATGTTTTTCTTCTTAAACCCTTCAAGGGTACTGCTCCTATTTCAGCTCCTACTTAACCCCCTATAGCAGATGGTAGAGTTGCCCCAACTCCTGGGTCTGTCTTACGTGCTCGCCTCAATCGTGGCACTTGGGAAATTCTGGTTCAATGGACTGGTTTGGATGCTGCAGAGGCTACTTAGGAGACTCTGGATCACTTTCGGCAGGCTTATCCAGCATTTGAGCTTGCGGACAAACTCTTTCTTCAGGGGGAGGGTAATGTTATAGACTCTTTTGTGGGACACGTCCATAATAGACGCCCTAATTGATGTCCAGCATTAAAAAGGCTTAGATTTTCTATTTTTATATTGATTTGTTTCCTATAATAGAACTTTCCTATTTTATGTTGATTCGTTTCCTAGAATAGATTTTATTCATGTATTCAGTATGGAAAAAAACCTAAATTATAGGTTTCCTATTCTTGTATTAAGACTCGCCCTATTTAAAGGGAGGAGAGGAATAAAAACCCTAAGCCGATTTATATCAAAAATTATAGAGATCTAGAGCTCTCTCTTACAACGAGTTCTAAGGTTTCAAGCTCCCCTCGACGAGCTTGAGTTATTTAAAAATAGGTCGTTCAAGGAATCAAAGTAAGGGAAGGAAAAAGGGAACAACAATTGACTTGGATTTTCCTGTCAATCGCCCTATGACTCGATCCATATTACGGACCATAACATATGACTGGCTAACAAAGATGCGAGGGGCTAGTAAATGTTAGAAATGGAAGTATAAGGCTCAATTATCAAATATTTGTTCACTGAAGACAATCAAAAGTTGAAAATTTGAGGATGTGCCAAGACTACTTTTTTAAAAATTTCTCCCAATATGACATAAAAATTGCCATTGCACCTCTTTCCTCTCAACGCTAATGCACAAAAAAGTCGATACATAAGCCAAAAGAAGCCAATCAAATAAAGATTAGGCATTTTATTGGCAAAAATATTTTTTGACAGGGGTGGGAAGCAGAATCTCACAGTAACACTAGCCTAGCACTTGTGGAGTCCATGATAAAATTAGTGCACAAAAGTATACATACTGAAAATTATAGGGACATCCGAGACATTCATTCTATTTTCAAATGAACAAATTAATTGATCAAGCAAAAAGCACTACAACAGAATAAAATTGGGGATCTATGATAACAGATAAATACACCCCTTAAAATTATTTGTAGCAAAAGATAAACAGAACGATCCGCCATATCCGCAGTTCATCTAAATATAGAACACAATTTCTACTGATCCTCAACTAAACTTTCCAACCCTGAAGGGTGGAGGAAAATAAAAACACAATCCAATTCGGATATCCAAGTACAAAACGAGGAAGGCGACAAATCAATCACCAGGAATTAAACAAATTTCAGTGAAAATCGATTGATTAGGTGAGTCATACAGAAAAGAAACCGAACAGAAACTTCAAACCCTTATCATATTTTCAACGACCCTCTGTAACGGGGAAGAATTTAGTCAAAGTAAATGGATTCCAATGTGACCTAACTTTGAGTCTCTAGACTTGACCAATCAATTTTCTCCACAAGTCCAAACCTTGAGAAACTTCCTGCGAATTAACATTAAATCTCCAATTCCACAAACATTGGTCCAAAGTTAGACCATTTACTCGAGCCCATAATCAATTTTTATTTCAATTTACTTTTTTATACCATTAATATGAAAATAATATTATATTCAAAATATAATTTAAATTGTTTGATACTGAATTCTAATAGAAGTTCTAACATTCATTAAATCAGTATAATTTTAATATTAATATAATAGATAACAAGATCAATTACTAATTTTTTTTCCTTTTTGTAAACAACAATTATTTTTAAAAAGTTGAATTTATCAATGCAAGAGTCCAAATGGGATACTAGATTTCATGTTGTATATTTGAAAAATTAAATATTTTTAAAAAAATTTTAAATAGTAAGTTTATGAATTCATTTTCTTTCCAATTTCCTATGTTAAATTTGTTACCCTGAATTACAAAATTATAACTTCTAATTTCCTTTTATATATATATATATATATATATATTGTGCAACATTGTGTAAGTGCAGGCTTTCACCCACAGATGTAACAAAAGAAGCTTGAAGAAAGTTCGAGGTTCAAATAACTTAGGCCAAACTGGCAAAGATTTTGACCACCACCAGTACCTCCAAAAACCAGAATGACGCAAACGCAAGGTTCTGAGTGGAATACAATCAGCTGGAAAGGATGAGCTTAATTAGTTTCTTCTATTTCTATCAAATATATATGTTTAATACATATTAGAAAAACAAACAAAATTGGGATAAAGGGGCAACAGCATTTATCTGTCACAAACATTCAGAAGATAGAAGTGCAACATTGTCTTTAAGCAACTTTCGAGCCCGCCAATAGACAGCATTAGCTGTTTCTGATGTTCCCATCTGCAAAAAGATTTAATCATAATGTTACAATTTGAAAACACTAGCCATCGTATGTGGTTCTCAAACAATCAATGAGAAAGTCATTGAACAGTTTCCAAGTGCACAACTCACTCATACCATCATTTTTCATTGCCAAGAGAACTAGAATTCCTGAATGGATACTATCATCTTGAGATAAAGCTGTGTTAATAAGCATAGACACATACAACAACACGTGTCCACATGACATGACGTGGACACGCTGACATAACAGCTCTAAAAAGATTAGTGTGCAATAGAGTGGGGTCATGGCAAAAGAATGGATATTGCAAAATTTATTATTTACCATATTTATATCTAGGACATTCATAAAATGAGTCAAAAATATCATACATATCTAAAATTAAGAATAATTAATTTGCTCTTAAGCACTGATTATAAAGAATTATTTCATTCCTAAAATAAAAAATTAAACAAGCCACCATGGTGTGTTCTGTATTTAACCTTCTGTCCATGAGGAATCAGACAAAGGTAAGTCACAATGCCAAATGGAATGCCCATGCTTCCTAGTATTTCAAATTATACCAGCCTTGTATTTTTGCTTTACTTTTAGCCGGCCTATGGAATGTAATTGTTATAATTTTGAAGACAGTGCTTGTACTGTGAATGAAGTTTAAAAATCGCAAGTCATCACATGCATGGAATTTTCACGCAGAATTGAATCAGGTGTACCTTAATCTCCATTGTATAATAATTCCGCCACAAGCTCACATCTTGTTCGTAGGTTGCAAGTGCAGATTCATATAATTTTCGGGCTTCTAGAAGACATTTTCTGTCACCAGCCAATGCTAGGTTTGTTTCCAACTCTATGCAATCTATACACATTGAAAGACCGGGCCGGGGCAAAGCAAGAAATCTGCAAGTCAAACAGGATAGAGAACATGAGAATTATCTCATTACTAGCAATACAAGATAAGCTAAATTTAATAACTATTGCCATAAGCAACGTTTTCTTTAAGTTTATTTACATATACACAGCATATCAAAGCACCCCAAGAAATAATTGGTCATCTTATTTTTGTACACCACATGTATTCTTTAGATCAGTATTAAATCTATCCCACTGTGCAAATGTGCAGGAGGTACACCTCCTATGTTTCTGAAGTGATGCATCTGGACGGTCAGAATCACTGCCTGCTCTGTTAATAAAGAATATAAGGCTACAAAAATGCATGCAAAGAATGTTTCAATCCATGTTCTTGCATAGCTAGGTTAGTAGAAGGATAAATCATCCCCAAACTGTTCTCCAGATGCTGTAGATACTTCCGAGATTTCACTTTGATTCTTTGCAGAGTACATTGTACAAAATAAGATTCAACTGCTTCAGAATAATTTGACTTTTTCTTTTTAGACGGGTATTGAACCAACCTTATGAGAGGAGCCACAAAAAAAGTAAAGCACACAACAAGACCCTAATACAACTCTATACTTCAAATAGTCACAAACTTCAAGGATCTATGCAGGTAAGAAGATATTACAGACAAGAAAGAGAACAGCTGAAAGTCATGCATCTATGCTATGTTTTATAAGATCAGTCCCAAAGGAGCAACCTAGGCTCACCCTCAAACACAATAAAATTAAATCAGGCATCTAAAAGCAGAAAAACCCAAGCTGCAACTTGCCAACACGCAAATGAAGACATGACTGTCAGTGTCATTACAGCAAAATTCAATAGCCCAAGATCAAGAGAAATACCGCTTGTATGTCTCCCTTGCACTCTGAACCCCATCTTGCTCAAGAAAAACGTTTACAATGGCAGTAGACAAGGAAAATCCATCATCGCTGCCACCATCTTTAATTAATGAAACCAGTGACAGCTCCACTAGCTTGTCAAAGTACTGTTTTTGGTTCAAAAAGAACTTCAATGCCTAAAGGGGGCCCAAAAAAAAAAAAAAAAGCGATGTTAACATTCTTAGACAATTAAATTTTTTTCATCTGAACGTTTCATACCAAAACAGGAGAGCATGTGAATAAGGGTAAACAAGAAAGCAGGAAAGCCATACAAGTGGGATGATAAGAATGTTACGTACACATAAGAATGATTTCTAAATGACTTCATTTAAAAGCAAATAAGGTATGCAAAACAGATCCAAAGAGTTCATACCACCCTCTAGCAAGGAGCAGAAGAAAATTGATACTTCAATGACAGAAAATTAAAGCACCCAACAATAAAACATCATATTTCAAAGATGACAAACGCTCATGGAAACCAAATATGGGCCCCCTTCCAACTTCTGAGGGCTCACATTTTAACATATTCAGCCTTGTAGAACTTTCAGCTTTGGACAACACAAAAATCCACTTTGGAACTACCAAGTGTTCAAGTTTTATTCATCAAGTAAAGATGATTCTCACTTATAGTTGAAGTACGGCAGCAGATGACATGGTTGATGATGCATATCACCCAAAATACATGTACTACTTTCCTCGGTCCTCAAAGTAATATGGCACATCAAACAATTGTTGCTGATATAATAATGAAGAGAGCAAAGCTTATGATTCACCTATGGTTCTGTCAATAGTACATTCAAAGATACTGCAAGAAAAGGATTAAGTGTAAGAGTATTTGCTCCTACCATAAGCCATAATCTTTCAGCTTTTGAGATGGTCATTTTTAAAAGAACATTTTCCAGATGTTCATATAGAGAGAGTAGATCAGTTTTACTTGAATAACCACATCTCTCAGTTACACATCTCATCTCAACTGAAAGCCTCAGAACCCACAAATCCACTGCATCTGAAAGTTTCCCATTGCATAGATTTTCTGCCAACTTCCTAGCTTCCTCCAGTCTACCCAATTGCAAGAAACATGAGATGTGTTCACAGGCAAGATCTTCTGTAATGCACCCCATGCTCTCTGCCTTGTCATACACCATCAGAATATGATTATAAGAAACAAAGTCCCCAGAACTTGGCACTTCTCCATTGTTATGGCCAACAGCATCCTTCAAAAACCTTATATAGAGGCAAAAAATTGCAGATGAAGGCACAACTTTTATAGCTTCGTCGTAAACCTATAGAAAAGCACATGCAAGCTGATTGTCACATTGTTACGTACAGATGAAAGAGAGAAAGATCTTTTGATATTAATCAATATCTTACTGAAACAAAAACTTCATTTACAACAAAATATGTTTCCAGCTTCCCAAATTTTGGTGTCAAGTGCAGAAGAAAGAAAATCCTGCTAAAATTTTTTGGGTAATAGCACTAACATCAAAGAAGCAAGAATAAACAAAATATCCTTACACATGCTACTGTTCCTTCCAAAGTGGTGGACCATGTATTTTAGTAGTAAAAGATAATTCCTTTTTTCTTTTGATCTCTTTACTTAAGGATACTGAAGTCTGATCCTCTGATCCCTATTTGTTTTATCCTCTGAATTGAACTCAGCAGGTATGCAATTGCATGGGATATTTTATCCTTTCAATATCAAAAGAAAAAAAAAATGCAGTTATGCACGTGTGCACCCCTTGTGGGAGGCGATTTTGTGGAAGACAGGGAAATGGAATTTAAATGGTTTCCCAAGTCCTCTCCCAGAAGGGAAATGAGGAGAAGGTACTGAAAATGGTTATTGAACAGGTGTTTAACTCTATTACCAAATATAAATAAAAATTCCTGCCTATAAACTTTTTATCTCAAAAACCTCTAGACATGACATGATAGTCATGTATCATTGCAAATTTTAAGACAGTGATACACAAACAATGCCTGTGGTGTTCTCAGCCAAAGAACTGCAAGGACAAAATTGAAGAAACACAATTACAGAATGCCGGTCTTACTTTGTCTTTTGAATCTTAGTATCTATGAGAAGTGCAACCCGGGTGGCTTGGAATGTGTTAAAACATCCAAACCAACCCAAGTTAACTTACAATTGCTTAAACCCAACCCAATTTTGTTTTGGTTAAACCATGTTGACAATTTATGTGGGTTGGGTTGGGTTGGGTTCAAGAAGCCCCAAGTTAAGCCGTCCTACTTGTGGCCGTAGTGTCTGCTCAGTAAATTAAAGACACATCCTGTGCTACTTCACCCTTCCATTTTCCTTGTGCCAAAAGGATATGAAATGAGAACGAGTATGGATGGACTATTATCCAACACTAGTATCTGACTTTTTTTATTGGCACTTGAAGAGAGCTAAGATCAAATTACATAGTGAAGTGAAATCACCAAGCACAGCTCATGTTATAAAATTATATAACATATTGCATTATATGTTAAGAAGTGATCATTCACCTTAATCAACTATCAGACAAATTCCTGTGACCTCATACTGACATTTTAGAACAAGTACGCCCCTTTGGCACATAGCCTCAACATGCTGACACTCATAACAAGCCCATGTTACATGAGTCCAAGTAGAACAGGAGATATCTATCAAGAAGTTACAATACCTGCATTGCTTTTTCTAACTGAGACTCTTTTCTTGCAAGCCAGTCCCAGTACTCTGGTTCTTTTGAGAAATCTCTTTTCATGTCATTCAGTATCTCTTCCCGCATCTCATGTGAATGAGCTAAATCTGTTGCATCCAGAATCTCCACAAACCGTGTTCGAAGACTGAAACTAGAAGGGACAGATTCAATGGCACCACTATAAACAGTTCTAAGAATGCTCAAACCTTGCTCCCGGAATAGATCTACTTTCTTCTCTGCTTCTGTATTTTGAATGTCTGATGCTTCATCATTCTCTCTTTTCTCATCAAAGCCCATAAACAATTCTTTGTTTTCATCTCTCCATTGTTTCTCATCGGCAGCTTCATGATCACAAATAAGTGTTCCCTTATCTTCTCCAAGAGCAACTTTCCTTGCCTTCAACTTATTAAGATATGTGAGTTCCATACGAAGATACTCCACCCATAGATCCTCTGAGGTTGGGCAAACTCTCAAACCACTTTGCATCAAAGCACGAGCAGCTGCAGCATTTAAGTTCTGATCAAACTCCCAAGCTGCAGCATATATCCAGACACCTGGCACTTTTGGATGAAATCTAATTACCTGAGCCAGGACCTATAAAAAATAGCAAAGTAACAAATTTTTTGAAAAAAAGATCCAAATCCTCAGAAGTGATTGCGATGAGATATCGCAACATAAACCAACTAAAACAGAAAGATAGAGCTGCCTAATGTTTTAATGGATGCACACTCAGAGACACAAAAGAAAATTACTTCAAAAAATATCAAGAAAGGAAGAAAATGATACAGAAATGGTTAATTACCCAAGTCTTAAGTACAAGGGCTTTTCCCAATTTTTGGAGGCCAACATGGACTAAAACCATTCAATTTTTACTTTCACCTTCACTATCACATTCAATGCATCATCAAAATATATGAAGCCTATAATTCATACAACTATACCAAATATGACACAAAAATCAGCTCAATGGATTTATTTAAAGAAAAAAATATCTCTCTTATCAAAAGCAACATGTGCAAAAATAAATATTATGCGCTACATGAATGTGTATACCTTCTTCATCCGACCATTCCTCCGTTGCCTGCAAAACTCCAGATACTGAAACCAGAGCTCAATATCGCCTTTAAACCGGTTAGTAGCCAACCGATAAATCTCCAGAATCCTCGAAACGCCAGCAAGATCAGAAAGTGATTTCTTCATCTTCTTATTTCCCTTTTCCTTCAGCCCCCGAGCCACCGCCTTCTTGCGGAGAGGCGGAGAGCATCCAGCTGCTTCTCGTACTCAATATAAGCCAGAAAGTCCTGCTTGAGAGGGCTCGGACGCTTGAGCCTGTACTCGAACTTCCTCCTTTGCCTCACGACCTCCGCAATTTCCTGGCGAGAGAAGAGGCCTCGTCGCTCAAGGTCCTCGAGCTCGTTGACCATGCGCTCGAGCCTGTACTGTACAACGTCCGCCATTGTTGGTTGGTTTTGGCCGGTGAGATTAGCTTGTTCTCCGTCTGGTTCGTCTCTGCAGCGCGCGAGGGAGGACAGGAGTTGCCGACTTCTGGTTCTTTTAGGGCTTTAAGAACTTCACTACCATTAATGGTAGTGAACCTACATTTAAGCCAATAAGTCCGACAATCATGCACAAAGGTTTTTGATACAAATGTATTCCTATGTGAAAACTAACAAGTACACGTGTCAAGTAACAATCAAAATTTCTCTAAGTTAACAAATAAAAAATCAAAATTTTCAATTTTCAATTTACAAATTGGTCTCCACATAATCCATATTTACCCATGACAAAAAAAAAAATTATATATATCTATATATATATGCAAAGTTTATAATGATGATACTCAATTTTAACCTAATTATCCAATGTTTTACTTCTGATGCCTTAATAATCTGAATGGTAGAGCCTCACTGTTGCCAAGAGCCAGAGCATTAGAACCCAATCATCAAAATAACATGAACATCATTTTATTCAGCCCATAGAAATTTTTAATATGTGCTTCAAATATTTGGGAAAAACAATATCAGGTGATGATGCATGGTGGAAGCATTTGCAGATTTACAAGGCTTTTGAAATCATGGGTTAAGTGTCTACTAATTAGGGCAATCTTCACTTGGCAATGCAGTCTGATCTGTATTCAGCTTGACATATATGTAATTGTTGGAAAAAGATATTGGCATCTTATTCTCATTGTCATTTCCTGTTGTTTTAGTGGCATGTTCTACATGTGGATGAGAATACTATTACTACTATTGAAAACTTTATATGCATTCAGTTATCAATTAGGATCTGCTCGGTTTATTTACAAGATAACAATAAGCAATTTCCATTTTGCACTGCCTTTTCCGAATGTATCCTCATCTAAGGGGCTGTTTGGTTGGTATGATAAGACAAGATAAGATAAACTTATACTGCCTTATCACATATTCGGTTGGCGTGTAACAAAGCCAGATAAGGATACTTATCTGTGTATAGTAGATAAGTTATATGCTGCATGTGGGGATAAAATTTATCTCTCCTGATAAATTAAATTTTTGGACACAAATGCCCTCCGATGAAGCAGCTTCCCGTAACCACTCTTCGTCCTCCCTCCACGAGTGCAGATGGTGATCCACGAGTGCAAAGGCAAACACTCGCAATCGCCCATGAGCGCAGAGGGAGACGACATGCAATCGCCCACCACCGGAACTGCCAGACCTTTGGAGCTCGTCCATGGCGTCTGGCCCGATTTGAAGACCCGAATCCACGACTTCCATGAGCGTAGGGAGGTGCAGCAAAGGAAGGAACAGCTGCGCCCACCGCTGGCATCGCGAGGGTCGATTGACCTCGGCGGTCGCTGTTTGCGCCCACCGCCGGCTTCTGAAGGTCATTCATGGCTTTTGGCCCAAACGACCCGATTCCTCTAGAGGTTGTTCATGGCTTCCGGTTCCTCTTCTGTAACTCCCATGGGCTGGGTTCTTAGTCTGCCTAGGTCGGCCAGACAGGCCAACCCAGCCTGGCATGTCAGAGGGAGGTGGATGATCCAATTCAGCCGGCTTGATTATTTTTTTTTTTACCTATAAAGGTATTTTGATAAATTTAAAATTTTATCCCATTTCTTCTCTATTGAACCAAACATGTGGTAATACTATTTAATCCACATAAATTTATCCCACTATATCCTATCCTACTATATCTTATCCTTCCATCCGAACGACCCCTAAGAAGTAACTAATTCCTCTTATGATCAATAAGGTCTTACAGCTATGCAAGTTGTTTTCTACTTTAAAAATTTGCTGAATGTTTGAGAAAATGTTTAATTGGTTAAAATATAAAATGGTGTAAGAAAAACTCCAAACATCTCGCCATCCTAAACAATCTGTAATTGCAGGATATGATAGAAGCTTCTACTGTTGACAATTTAATCTCATCTTACCTAATCTGGTAAAAATATTAAGAGAAACAAAGAATCAAAAGCATATATATAGGTAAGATAAGACCAAGAAATAAGCTATACAAAAGGTAAAACCTGCAAGTAGCTGAGTATGTCAACAGTGTTTACTCTAGATCCTCCCTCTTGTTGTCTCAAAATCCATTGATAGACTTTTTCCTGCAAATGATAAAATAAATTTAAAATAGTAAAATGTCAAATGACTGTCCGAATTAAGAGGTTCAACAAGTTTAGACGGAAATAACAAGATAAGAAGATCAAATGATTAGAAAAGAAGGTCTGATAGTTTTGCCTCCAACAGTCAATCTAGTAAGGCAGCTAAATCTAATAAATTAAACTCAAACTAAGGTTTCAATTGGTAGTCCATCCCCCTCCCCACCTCCCACAGAGAGAGAGAGAGAGAGAGAGAGAGAGAGAGAGAGAAGAGAGAGGATAAGGGCTAGTACAGGAGAAAGAGGAGAGCAGAATACAAATGGCATCATTTTTATCACCTTCACATTACTTCTGAAACTCCTTCGGTAGAATTCTTTATAAAAGTTTCTAATTAATTGTCATGTTTTAGCAAATTAAGTTGGCTGAGATTTAACAACGTAGATACTCAACAGCAACCTGAAAATGTCAAATTAAACAGTTGATAATTTAAAATTTTATAACATTTAAGGAATTAGTGTTATATTCCACAACCCAGATGCTACAATCAGAAGCATGATTAACCATCCTTAAAAAATCTCTGAAGTGTGTATCATGAGTTATCTCACATTGGCTTGCCCGATCTTGTGTGTATTTATGTGTATTATATACCATTTCAAATACTTGACCTATTTGAGTGCTTGCATTAATCACAAAAAAAAGATGGAGCAAACTAAAATAAGAAATGCAATCAAAATAAATCACAGAGCAGAGATAGAAAGGAGAAGAAGATAAGAGAAATGCAAACTAATATTTGCAAAGTTGTAAACAAGTCCACCCAAATAACTATAATAGAACCTGTAACTGGGGAAGTTTACCTGAAATGCAGATACTATGTCATATGTGTGGCCTTGAAAATGACTAGGCTGCTCATGAAACAACAAAATTATATCGTTACCAACTGTCCTAAACTTGGTCAAAGGGAAAAAGATAAGGTCAAACCCTTAAAGTGAAATTGGTTTAAAAAAGGTGAAAATATAGCAAAAAGAAGAAAAAATGCATGTTGTGTATGCTCATGGAACAAAGACAACATAAAGCTCTAACAAATGCATATCAGTTTTTAATGCATACTTTTGGAAATCTAGATATTCTGCTGAGTAGAACATCCGGGGATAATTCTTTTAACATATACTTTTGAATCTGATTTATTTGTAACCAAGAATTGTGCTATAAGCAACTCAAGAGCTTCAGTAATAGAGTTCTAATGTTACTAGAACAGAGATTAGCTTCATTGAAAATTGTTTGTGTTCATCTTGTTGACTAAGAAGACAATACTTGATATCCGACTTGATTTTGGTTTTTGCTAATTTTAACGTGCTTGGTGCAAATGGTGAATCAATTTCTAATGCTTTGCCATTTGTGGAAGGCATGAAATTTGCTTTTGTGCTTCAGTATTGTACTGATATTCTGGCTGGCAGTTATGATTTGACTAAAGAAAGGCCCAGAAGGAAGTTCTTCCGAAGACAAACTTGTAAGTCCAAGATTATATGGTCCAGACCACATTGGCAACAAATGTCTACTTTGTTGATTCAGATATGTCAAAGTGAAAATATTTTCTTTCAGTTCTCTGTGAAGTAAAGGGCTCCTGTACCCCAGTAGAATATTTCATTTCTTCTTGATCTCCTGTCTTTCTCTGACAAGACTGAAATAAACTTTTGGTTTCAGTACTGAAGGAAGATATGGAAAAACCACATCAAGCTTTGAAAACATTATCTGAAGTAGAAAAACAGCTGAGAATGTCAAATGACAGATTAACATGGTTAACATGGAATGAGTGAAGATGATTTTAAACTATGCTTTATTCTCCCCTTAATTATCCTCTCGAGGCCTTTATTCTTATGAATAAAAGAATATAACTTATAAATTTGTAAGCTATTAATATTCTGAATCTCTAGGTTGTCCTAGAAGTTTTAATTGTTGACAGTACCATGAACTTGCAAGCTATTTTGTTTATTGCTTTCTGATTACATGCATTAGGTGAAGAGTTGACAGTATAGGAGCAGCTTTCAAGTATTTTTTATTACTCTACAATTCGACTGTAGTATGACTAATTAAAAAATTAATATTGTTAGTAATAACATTTTATAAATGAAACATGTTATAAAACAATAATCTCAGCTTTGTAGGCTCTCCAAAAATAAGTTCATGCAATTTGACTATAGGATGACTAATATTTGGCACAAAAATAATTATAATACAAAATTGGATAGCATTTTGGAATGGGACAGGATCTAAGTTAGAGCCAAATGGGAAGAATGTAGGTAACACTTTTGCGGGAATGGGAAAGATTTTGTGGTGGGTGCAAATAGGTTGCGTGGAGGTGGTCAGGATTCTCCTTTTGGACTGCATACACTAGCCTCTTGTGGAGTTAATTTCTAAAAGAATTTCTTTTTGTTTTCTAGCGCCAGCAAATTTGGAAGCCTACGTTTCTCCTCGACCTTCCTCTCTCCACATTGTTCAAATTCATCCATGTTCTTGGCAGAGAACTTGAACAATATAATTATCACTTTGGTGAGACTCCTGAATTTACGGGGCTAAAATTGTGCTAGTCTTGACTCTGATTTGAAGGTAATTTGCCAGATCCAATTAATTTGTAAACGGGAGGAAAAGAAAATGTTAAAAGCTAGGAAAACGAAATGAATAAAGTGAAATTAAGAGGATCAGGAAGGCGGGAAGGGGGATACATGGGCAAGTACAAGGAGACAACCTAGCAAGAAACCGAGATTTACTTCTAATTTGGTTTTGGATGCTAAGGTTTGTCTGCTACGGCAAATGATAAAAATAGACGAAAATGGTTATTCTCAATGTCGTATAGCTAGCCACTGAAACAACGTAGAGGAC